GGGGGGGGGGGAGAATATTATTGTTAAGAATCATATGTACTTCGCAGGACTGAGAATCACTTATAATGGTCACGGATATCGCGTGTCCTACTAATAGGTGGGTTTTCTGAATATGCAATACCATTCTTTAAAAAATTTCCTTGAAAGAATGTCTCAGACTAAGATGCTTCTAGAATTGACTGATTTTCGTGATTTTTACTCGGTTACTGAAGAATCTTATAATGTTACTAAAGGGCTCCACCCCATGCTCGCTACCGCTCGCCAACCCCCGATAATTGCCATGCAATTACATCTTTGTTTGCTTCGCGAACAAAATTAAAGTCGTTTTTCTGGAGATTAGCTGGCAATTTTTCTGTACCAACATCACATAGAGAGAATATTATAGGATTGTAAAATGTCAGAGGTGCTTATTATCAGCATTATAAACTTATAAAAAGCAATTTTAATACAAACAATATTATAAACTTATGTAAAGCGAGGAAGCAATATTATTTAACACATTACTATGGGCATTAGCCGGAGATTAATCTCCGTATCCGAAGCACGCATGGCAGAGCCTAACTCCAATTATTGATGATCTTATAGGATGCCGGAAGCTCCCTATATGGTGCTTCATCTAGTAAGTAATTCCCCAGTAATCTAAATTTTAAACTGACAAAAATTAAAACCTAATGAAAAAAAGAACTTTAAAATATGGCAAAAAAATTTAAACATGTAAAATTTATAAGTTTATGCTGAGTAATATTTCAAAAGCAAATACCATTGCAAGTAATTGCCCAATTAACTTCAAAACTGTCAACTGACAAAATATTTTAGTTTCAATCAGACAAAAAGCAAATTATATAATAAAAATATATGTAACTAAAATTCAACAAATTAAATTAAGCAATTTAATTTTTTTGTCATACTTAATACTAATAAAGAAAAAAATATGAAATGAAATAATTATGTTATCAATGATCAATAAGCATTTTTGTCTGAATTGTTATAAAAAAGTAAGGTGAAAACAATAAAATTAAAAATTATTTTCAATAGATCTCTGAATATTCACAAAACCTAGCTATGTACATTTTTCATTAATTTTTCTTTTCACATCATTTTGTGTACCAATGATTTGCACTTTTTTGCTTTATTTAAGAAATATCTCAAACATGTATGAACTGTTTAGTAGTATTTCCGGCTGAATGATTTTTTGAAAGTAAATAAAAACAATTTAAAGTAAGGAAAAACAATGATAAAATTAAATATTATTTACAAAACCTCCTTATATGCAAAATTTTTTATCAATTTCTTTTCCATATCATTTCGTGCACCAACAATTTGTACTTTAATGCTTTCCTTAGTGTGACACCTTGAAAGTGCCACATATAACTGACCATGTCCAAAGATGAGCTTATTTTGATCAATGTAAAGAACAGCTCTGTCGAAAGTTTGACCCTGTGATTAATTAATGGTCATGGCAAAA